TTCTACGCTGTCTACCTTTTCCGATACATTTCCTAACTCTTGTCCTACGTACAGATTTCCTAAATATCCTTTGCCCATTTTCCAACAAATTAACTCTCAATTCTTAAATAACAGACGAAAAATTACTGTTACATTTCTTCGGCCTTGAAAGCTTGGAGCGCAGTTTAAAATGGCGTTCAGGGTTTAGTTTTTACTTCGTGTTTATAAATTTATGTTCACACGGGTTTGTTAACGTTTAGTTTAGAACACGCAGCGCCTGTTGTGTTAGCAAAACGATCTGGTTATGTTCCGCTGAAAACATTTATTATGGAATAGACGCAAGGGTATTTATAATAGATATTTTCAGTTATCACCGATAAAAAATTACTTATATAACAGCGGAAAAAAGAAAAGCCTATAAACATAGATATACATTTAAGAATTAATTTTATGAAGCAACTAAATTAAAAATAGATCAACATAAAGGACAAAGGAGAACATAATGAAATTCTACAAATATTACGACTTTGCGGCGTGTTTCATGTAACTTTACGTATAGGATGCTGTTGGTCTATGTTGCTTACCTTACCTTGATACAAAAATTCCAATTACCTGCAAAACGTTTTGTTTAAACTATGATATCTCATTAATATTACACACATAAATAATATTACTATGACGTGGTTAATGTGGAATATTTCCCGGTACATTTTTAATAGCGCAGCCTATAATCACTAAACGTAGATACTACTTTGTTCAACGTATTTAAACTCAAGTTTTGCTGACGGCTTTTTGTGTTGAAATGATTTTATGAACTATCGGTTACAAAATAATTTAGGTGACGTACACAGAGAAAACTAAATTTTTATGCCGTAGAAATAGTAGAATTTATTAGGTAACTTGTAATAATGTCAATTTTAACATGTTTTTTTTTTAAATTATTTCAAGTTTCTTAATTATTACAATTTAATTTGTAATATCAACTAAGGTATCTAGTAAATCTATTTCTGCAAGGATTTAAGTTTTACAAATTCAGGTCCAAATTGTAATTTTTAAGAAACTTNTTTTAAAAAAAAAAAGTAGTAAAATTCTCTTGTATCTTTTTTATGTCTTCCTTAAAGAATATTTTCACAAATCTATATATACATATATATACTAATAAAAATAAAAATAACGTGTACCCCTATTTTACTTTGCAGCTATAACTATACCCAGCGCAGATCACTGTCGTGCACTATGGTAGTTACATATTAATAGAGTGGCATTTCTAATGGTTAAAAGTGATAGATTTAGGCATTGTAAAGAAATGCTTAATGAATCAGAATTTTTAATTTAAGAAAATTAAGTATTTCTCCAACTTTTTCAAACAAATTGTCAACTTTTTTATTTGTGTTGCGTATGTGTTTTAACATTGTGATCTTGTCTGTATTTCTTGATAGTTTAAGTTAGAATTGTGGTCAATCAAAGCTTTTCTTGGGCATTTCTTAGACAGTTAATGGTCGTCCACACTTACATAACCTTATAACTTTTATAAAGACATTTTACATACAATAACAAGTTCAATAATGAGATAGGAAATGCACTAACTACAGGGTACTTTCGTTTCACCGCCTTTTAGCAATCCTTATCCGTATGTTTGCGTGATGTAATTTTCCTTATCCGAACAACCAACGCTGCAGGTCAGTGCGGTGCTCCTAATAAGGTGTCGGCTGTTTTGCGAAGAAACACTAATAGGAATCAAAATTGTTGCACTCTTATAATGCCAAGGACAAATTTTGCAACGGCAACACTTTTATTATCTTATGATATTTGCTATTTGCATCCGTTACATATTAACAGCCCTTGAACACTTCATCAATTTCAGACTGTAATCGTTATATTTGACAATTACAATATTAAAAATTAAAATGCCAACAACAAAAGAATGAAGGACAACGTTTCATTTAATTCTGAATAGTTCAGGAATAGTACCATGAAGAAGTGAACTGCAATGCAGAGGAAACAAAACTGCAATATCAAACTCACACGGTTAAAGGCTGAAAGCTTTACTTTATAGTGATACTGATCATCGTGAACGCCTAAAATATTAATTAATACTAAATAATACGAAAATATAATTTACAGCACCGCTTTAAGTTAAATAAAAATTGGAATTATCGCGCGTCAAATAGTTTGTGAACTAATTTGACATTTTTAAAGGAGAAGATAAAACCAGTAGGTTTAGTGTTCCTATACATATAATGTAATCGTTTTAAGGGACCAAGTACTAAACACTGCAATTACTATAATTGACGTCCTTCAAGTTAAATTTTTTGAGTTCTTACTAAAGTATCCTTGAAGAAGCGGAAAAGATTTAAAAAAATTTATTTTAAAGTAAACTAAATTCACTGGACCCAATTTATTTGGAGACAAATTTAAAATTGTCAACGTTCAGAAAGGGAGGATTATGTTTGCTATACAATGTCACAAAGATTAGTTTTGTTTAGTAGCGGACCTGGTTTTTATATTGAACCAATTTTATGAGCATCTGGAATGAAAACACAGCTACTTTAATGTTAAAAATCTTTTAAAAAACAATAAAAGAGCTTCTTCAAATGCACATTACAGCACTTGTAACATCCTGCAGAACTACAAGTCTCAGTATACATGGATAGTAAATAAATCTATTTTAGTGCTTTAGTTTAGTTAATAATAAAATTAAACGGATCAAAACTGCTCAGAATCAGTAACAATTAATTAATTATAGCAACAATTATTCTATTTGCATCATAAACACGATAAATACTTTCAAATTCGGGTATCTCATATATCTGTCCTTCATCGGTAATACTATTAAGTTTTTTGGTACATTAATTAAATTCAATATTTACGGTGCCATTATAATAAAAGCGAATTTCACACGTAAAACAAGAAAGTATTTACGTACGAAAACGAACAAAATATTTAATGTCAATGTTGCTATAAATTCTAAGTTTTAAATGGAGTTTATATTTTCGTAATTTTTTCGAGAAAAAATGTAAATTTGGATAACATTAGATACTTAAAAGTAAAAGTAAAGTGATTATAGCTTTTGATCACTGATAATCAGTAGATAAATCAAGAAAATAATCTGATTTGTTCAGAATTTTCATTGACCTTTTGCATACAGTACTTATAAGTATTCCACGCTCATTCATAGCTGAAAAGCTTTGTAATGGTGTGAATTTTCCAGAAAAAAAGAAGAATGTTGAAAATTGGAATTACAGTTTTCAACATTATATTGAACAAGGATAAATTTTAAAATTTTTTAAAACATTAATAATATAAAATTATGATGAAAAGCTCGGTTCCACTTTAACTAGTTATTACCTAATCAATGAGAAAATGTCTTATAATTTGGTTAGTTTTCCTGATATTTTCTAATTTTATACATAACATTCCAATACATGCGTAAATCTACAAATATATATTTTACATAGCAATCAAGTTAGCTGTAGTAATTGTTTTTATTTTCCTTTGTTACTAATACGCGCATTATTCTTGTCTTCGAGAAATAAGCTGCTACCTGTCACGATGAACAGACGTAACATATTCCTGTTATTTCACGGGCACGCGACATAAATAGGTGTAATTTCATTTATCAATGAGGTTGTTGGATACTTTGTTCCAGTTTTTTACACCGATCTAGACACTCCCTTTTAAAATACTCGCATATATGAATGAATATTAATTTATCGGAAAAAAGCAGTTTTCCGCTATTTCTGAATGGCGGCGGGAAAGTTGCAATGTCATCGGTATCTGTACACATATGTGTATGTGTATGTATTGTCTGTTATAATTGCGAATTGGAACGCTTGATTTTTGTTTTGAAAAAAGAGTAAAGAATTTTACTTGCAAGAATTTATACATAGAGCTTATGAAACTGAATTGTGGGTGTACAAACGTCAAATATTGTAAAACAGGTAAACAGATAAGTCGGTAATAAGGTCATTAAATAGGTGTGGCTGTATCCGTGCCAGTAACAATTTACAGTTTTTCTATAGTGGTATAATTTTAAAAAACATACTCATATAATTGGAAAATATAAAAAACATTCATATTTCATAATTATTTGAATGCATGAAATACATTCTCGTTGAAAAAATGTCAAAAAATCACAAAAAGCCCTATGTTTTGTGGACAATTAAAATTGCTGGGTAATTTGGATGATAACAGAGGAAGCCAAAATAGAGAAAATAATAAAAATCATTAAATACATTATTACCAATTTAACTTTTAATGATAAACAATTCAATATTCATAAAAACTAACAATAAATAACAACAGATTTTTGTACATTTAATGAGTTTTTGCAAAGATGTGATGAATATTCTCATTATTTAAAATTTTTACATAATGGGCATAGTTATAAACATTGTCCTTATACACTTATCATATTCAAACTATGAAACCCCTTAATGCAGCTAATATGCTGAGGTACACGACTTTATACTTTTTTCTATTAGAGAAATCATTTTACAAGGAAATTTTATTTTCCAAAATTTTTTACACTAACGAAAGCTGTTAATGAACCAATGATATTGTTTCATCTACAAATATTGGTATGAATTTTCTTTATGGATACAGATAATTGTGTCATTTATTTTGTATTCCCGTATCCTCTCATAATTCTCTAATTTTTCATTTTGAATAGTCATATTTTTTGTTATTGCAGGAAGCACACTAAAAATTCGACTTCTTTTGACTGTTATAACTTTTTGCTGGTGGTGTACGATTCGAACCATTGTATCAAACATGCCAATGCATGAATTAAGTTTTGAAATTATAGAGATTGCGAAATCTTTTGACACATTGTTATATTGTTCGTTATTTATACTCATCATCGGATCCTGAAAGTAAATCACAATTTCGGAAGTGCGAACACGCAATTTTTCTATTACTTTTGTTCAAACAGAATACAAATGACCGGAGAGAAAGTCAAATCAAGGCTTATCAGATATCCCTAAGACAGGAGTGATCGTTTTCAGTGGTAACCGTGGAAGTGGGGGTTGAACTATATAAAATTAACAACTAATAATGAAGAAATCAGTTACCGACTCCCCTTTAGGACAAAAACTGTATAAGTGCTCAACATGAAGACCTTGGTACGTATTATGACAGAATTAAGCATTATTTTTTTATAAGCGTACGACAAAGATTAAATCCTCCTAAAAGTTACTACTAATAGTAATTATTATAACTTATTATTATTATAAGTTATTAAACATGTGACTTTAGCATACTTTTGATGATAAGTATTAAAATTTTTTTTACAAAAATTCTACTGATAAAAAAGATTGTTCATCACTCATCTCTGCCGATAATTTGTCAAAATGTGACAAGATATTTAATTCCACATAAATGGTCTTTTTAAAAAGATTTTGAATATGAACTGAGTAGCTACCTAAAAGTTTGGATCATTTGTAAATGTTTCATAAAAAGCAAATAATTCTAAATTTATACTGAAATGTATATGCTAATGGAAATGTGTGCAATCTGTCATTGTATACAATTCCAAGGAAATGTATATAATTCCTAAAATCACCCGGAAATGTGTGAAATAAATTATATTAGACACATTTCCTAGGAAATCTATACATTTCCTAAATAGCAATCGGAAATGTATTACATTCAAGATGTCATTTGGTACGCAGGGTTAGCGAGGGGAGGGTATTGCTTTATCCGATCAGGCGATTTATTGTATTCCCAGATAACTATGATTCTCAGTTTATTAACATTTCCTAGTACAATATCGGAATTTCATACAATTCCTAGGAAGTGTATACATTTCCTAGGATATGTGTGTATTAAAAAATATTTGAAACAATATTTTATACATTTCCTAAATAGGCTCGAAAGTGTATACATTTCCTAGGATATGTGTGTATTAAAAAATATTTGAAACAATATTTTATACATTTCCTAAATAGGCTCGAAATTGTATACATTTCCTAAGAATTGTGTACAATTCCTAGATTGCATTCATTTCTGGTAACATGTACATATAAAGTAACGCAAATGGTTAAGGAGTTATAGCTTTATTTATTAGGGAAATCTCATGCATGACCGCTATTTGAATGTCCAATTTAATAAGAATTGCATTTCTGTGTTTGTCTATTATTTAATCCGTTGTTAGATTATATATTTATGCATGTGTAGATATGAACATTTTTTTATCATTTTGCGAGATTATTACGTAAAATCCTATTGATTTATATACCTAGTATATTATAGTAACGGGAGACCACTTTTACTTTTCTTTTAAAAAACTACAAGGACTTCTAGTTCCTTCAGAAACTAACAACCTTTGTCTTTCACGTAACTAATTGGATCATGGAATGGGTAAGGGCGTGAATATGCCCTACCCTTTTACTTATTCACTAAAAAAGAAAAAGAAAATAATACACTTCTAACAGTAAGCTGAAGACACTTAGGCACTCCGTGAATAAATTACTTATTTTGAAAAAACTTAACCTTAACAAACAATTATCAGTTAAAACTAACACAATTGTTAAATTTAATATTACAAAATGACGTAACAGCAATAAATGTTACTGTGAATACATTGCGTTTGGTACAGTTACTACGCATATTGTTAAATAAATAATTAATGAACTTGTATGTTCCAGCTTTTGAACTTGATCGCTTTTGAAATTTAATGTTATAATTAAGTACATTTACTAGTAATGAACTTGAGGCAAATACGTAGTGCTTGTTAATTCATTAAAATGTAAACCAATGTAAACATTCCATGTGACCTTTAATTAATTTCGAAATCGGGCATAATTTCGGAATTGGTCCCCCAAAGAAAACTGCAGGGAAGTTAAAAATTTTGGCAATCAAAAAGCCCAATTTAATTTCACTAATAAAAAAAGTAAATTTCAATAAATTATTATTAAAATATTTCTATTTGCACAGTTGTCTACAATTTCCGTTTTGTTTTTGTACGTTAACTGCATAAGTCGTGCACAATCCCTAATGCACACGACTGCACGAGTCATTCACGACAAAAAATTGTCTCTTGAGCTTACATGTTCTTATTCCGATCTCCCCTCTTCCTCAAATGCTTGATCGGTTATTGAGGTTGCAGCCAACAATCGCGACTTGCATTTTTATCCTGAAATCCCGTGCAGGACCAATTTCGCGTCAAACGTATTGCACAATAACATTGGCACAGACACTAATGAACTGCATCGTTTGCATTGTAAAACACTTTCTCTATTAGCGTGTATGTGATCGGGATAGTCAACTACTATGGCAGTGATAGTGTTTCAAGAACGCACGCACTTGATATTCGCCAACCATGCATAGTTTCGGCAAGTAGATATCCACATATTTAAATGGACCTTGTTGGAGCATACGTAATCCTAAAATGTAGCATCGTACTACAGATGGCGTTTACCGCGCTATTTGTGGTATTTTCTAAAACGCGCTGTTAAGGCAGCAGATAAAAGTTGGTTTGTGTTCTGTCGGAGCTGTCTACGACGCGCTGATGAGATCCAAAAAGATCGAAATCGCGATCCGCGTCTGGCAGTTTCGACAGAATACAGACCACTTTGAATTATTTTATGCCTAGTGGCATCTAGATACTGGTCAATGTGGTTCTAGATATCTAACGGGTCATATGTAATGTGAAACAAAATTTTACACTTTACACTTAACGTTATACTATATACATTCTGATTTGTTTCTTTCGGTCCATTTTGATCTGAACTGATCTGAGCCGTTTTCTTTTAAGATTTTCTTCAGTTTACTGGTGTGCGCTGCTTTGGCCACCGAAAAGGCTGAAGATAAAGAAGTCGAAGCTTCAGCTGAGAAAAAACAAAGTAAAAGAGGAGTTCTTGGACTTGGACTTCACGGATCGCTCATTGGACCATCTGCATTGGGACATGGTTTAGCTCTTGGTCCCGGTATTGGCGCTGGTCCTCTTGGTGTTGGCCCTCTTGGTGCTGGTCCTCTAGGTGCCCCCATTGGACCTGCTTCAATCGACTTGGGCTCTCACTCCCACACTCATACAACTATCACCAGGAATTTAGGATTGCCAGTACCTGTACCACAACCTGTCCCAGTTGACAGACCTGTACCAGCCCCATACCCAGTAAATGTACCATATCCAGTTGATCGTCCATATCCAGTTGATGTACCAAGACCATACCCAGTTGCTGTAGACAGGCCATACCCGGTGCCTGTTGATAGACCTGTCGGAGTACCAGTGCCACATGCCGTACCAGTTCCAGTTGACAGACCAGTAGGTGTTCCCTATCCCCAACCAGTTGGAGTACCAGTTCCAGCACCTTATCCCGTAGGAATCCCCCACCCAGTGCCAGTCTCCGTTGCCAAACCTCTTCTCATTAAATCCATCCACAGCCATCACTTGTGATAACCTAATTTATCAATAGCATATTGTGAAAATTATGTATTAAAAAATCATGTTTGTCTTTTCAAATTTTATAGTGTAGTCTTGATAGCCAAATTATAAAAATAAGACTATTTTACACAAACTGCCTCTCTCTATTCTTGCGCTGTGTCCTCCATAAGCAAGTTATTCAATTTCCTTATGACGGATGAGATTTAATACTGAAATTTAGTTTTGTAAGGCTTGTAAATTTCAATCTCTTATAAATTTCCTGTATTATACGGACCTCCTGTTTAATTTCTTTATAACTGCAATAACATTAAAGAAATATAAGGAAAATTGTAGCTTATTCTCATTTACAATCCTTCTTTTTCAAGAAACCTACAGCGTATAAGGACGAAGTGTATTTTTTATACTTGTAAAACAGTGTTCTTACAATTGTTCGTGTTTCTTCTACACGACTATTACAAAGTTAACAAAATCGAATTATATTTTAGTGTTCCGTTTTACAGAACATTCTGAGGGGTACTTATAATTATTTTACAATTGATAAGAATNTTTTAACGTGAAGTTCTTAAAAAATACAAACTACAATAGACGTTTTCCTGTTTTATTGTTTTTAGTCACGTTGAATAGTTAATGAACTGTTATTATTATAAGGACGAAGTGTATTTTTTATACTTGTAAAACAGTCTTCTAATATTGTTTGTGTTTATTCTACACGACTATTACAAAGTTAACAAAATCGAAACCATTTTTTAGTGTTCCGTTTTACAGAACGCTCTGAGGGGTAGTTATATTTATTTTACAATTGATAAGAATGGATGAATCAGTAGGATCACTAATCTATAGTATTCCAAGCCAATGATTGCATTATGTTGGTTGTTTTCCCATATTTCCAATTTGACATTATTGTTTTATTCAGACCGATAAAAATGTTAATGTTGTAAATTAGTTACCTCATCCTAATATTTAATTACTTCTATTATCATATTTGCTAACAAAGTAAGAAGATAATGCATCTACCTGTGCATTGTTTTGGATGTAGTAATATGTTGTTCACTAACGAAATTAGAACGAATATAAAGTTGTCTTCGCAAAAAAGATGAAAGGCCTTATCGTTCTTTTCAGTTTTTGTGGTTTCATTTTTGCTACGGAAAATAATGTGTGCATTTCTTTCGGCGATTATTACAACGATATGGAGAATAATCCAAACTGTTACTTTAATCCAGAAGCTGATTTAGATGTGGCAAGTACCTACTTTATACGTACGTTCAAAGCATTTAATTAGGCTTATAATTAAGTGCTTCCATAGATTACGTTTATGTAAAGACAACACGCAATTCATTCGCTTTTAATATTAACAAAATACTTCAAATAAAGGTGTAATGTCAGTACTTTTTAGACACGAATTATTTCAAGGAATGGATATCCGGTCGAAGCACATTCAGCTCTGACAGTCGACGATTTTATGCTAACGCTTTTCCGAATTCCCCATGGGAAAGTACCACGTCAAGGATATACTCCAACTCCTGTACTTCTCCAGCCCGGAATGGGTCTTAATTCTGTGTCATATGTTGATAGGGGCAACACATCCTTGGGTTAGTAACGAGTATTTTTAATAATTTTCATTAAATGAGAACTGTTTGAATTCTTGGTTAGTAATTTATCGAAACTCCTAAATTTCAATCGGGGTTTCAAACTTATTTGTTCTCATCCGCACGCCACAGGGAGTCTCAATAAATTACTAACCAAACCGAACTTTTTCCGTAAAAGGAAGGTGATGTAATAGAATAGTGAAAATAGTTCTAGTGAGAGCATATCACTTAAACGGTGCAAATCGTACATAGGGATAGTTGATGAAATTTAAAAAACCTCTGGTAATACATGCAAGCTATTCGAAATTCTAGAACGTTGTTATGAATACTAAGAAAAGCTCTGGAAAACACCTATGATGAGCTTCAAATCTAATTAATAAAAATATTTCCAAATACTACTTTTTAATCAGTTCAAAAATCTTCAATTCACTGTCTACAAATACGAATCAAAATTTACTAAAGTAGAAAGAGGAGACTGTGGTAAATATTATTTAAAAAAAGAACAAAAATTAAAAGGAATACTCACCCCTAATTACCACAAAAAAATTTATTTGAGCGGACACGAGTTTCGCCCACTTCATACGTGTCCGCTCAAATAAATTTTTTTGTGGTAATTAGGGGTGAGTATTCCGTTTAATTTTTAATTAAAATTTACTAATCCCTAAAATTTTCAGCTTTCCTTCTGGCCGACGCTGGTTTTGACGTATGGTTGGGAAATTTTCGGGGTTCGCAATATTCCCAAGTTCATTTGTTTCTCAAGTCTGACTCCATAGCCTATTGGAATTTCAGTTTCCACGAGTTGGGAATTTACGACATACCAGCTCAGATTTCCCTGATCAATGAAGTTACTGGACAAGAAGGAAATATTTTGTATTTAGGATATTCAATGGGCAATACGGCTGGATACGTTTATAATACTATTTTTCCCGAACAAGCTTCAAAATACATAAAAGTATTCATTAACCTAGCTCCAGTTATCTATACTGATAATATAAAATCAGTCTTCAAGTATTTTACTTTCTTATGGGAATGGGCACAAGTAAGTATTACCTTTCCCGTAGGAAAAATTTCCATTCTATTTCCATTAAAAAAATGCCATTTAATTACCACTAATAATAATTAATGGTAATAGATGGAGAATTGTCAAAAATTCCTAAACTCAATGGGATTTCCATTGCGTTCCATTGAAACTTCCATTCCTGAATCGAATGGAAATCCTAGTGTCACTTCTTTATTTTTTACCTTTAATTATTGTTAGTGGTAATTAAAAGACAACCTTATTTTTTAATAAGTTTTAATCATCTCAAACCAGATCTCAATTTTTAGGTACCCAATTGTGTTCCATTTATACTGAATGGTTTTAAATAGAATTTATAAATTTTGCATTGGTTCCCATTGAAAATCAATGGAAGTTTTTCTTAATATTAATGCAATTATTGTAAATGGAAACAATTATTTTTCCATTTATACCAAATAGTTTTGAATGGAATTTACAAATATTTCATTGATTCCCATTGAATTTCAATGGAAACTTTTCCTACGGGTTCCCAATAAGACCTTTAATAAGTAATACACTGTTTTAAAACTTATGTAAAATATCTTAACACCATTTGAAAAAGTCTCAAATTAGAAACGTAACGTCGGTGTTGGTTTTGTTATAGTAAATTCTTTTTGTCTCTGATCGACTCTGATTATTTTATAATTTTGTTACATTCATCTTTCTTAAAATTTACTCGAAAATACGTAAAACTTGGAACACAATGCAAATTTCATTTTGAACGATAATCATTTTAGTTCCTGACCGATGGCAATGCCTTTCATAAAGACCTTCTAAAACGTGACCGAGTTAGCACAGAAATAATGAAGCGCATTTGTTTACCGTATCCCATTCAAATGAAGCTATGTTGGCTGGGTATAATGCTATTGACTGGTTTTGATGTAGATCAAATGGATCCTGTAAGTGTTTTGCATATCTATTTAAAATTACATTATTTTCTTGGTCAGGTTGTCCAGACGTACATGCAAACTGTTCTGTTAATGAAGGATTCATTAAAGCGCGTTCACTTGTTTTGTTTTAAGTACTTTGAAAAATATCATATTTCCACCACAATGTTTTAAACATTTCTGCTGAATAAACAAGAGAACAAAGGAATACATGTTAATTAGAAACTACTAGATCATTATCTCCACGTATACAATATTCATATACATACTACATAACACAGTCGTGCATATTTTTTGATATCTAATGTAAAAGTAGCAAAATTTAATATTTGTTCAGAAAACTACCTATTTAGACAAACAAAACTTCTTGAGACTGCTTTACACACTAATTCACCCGTATAAAGTATAAATAAAAGATATTGCGAACGAATTACAGGGATTAATCTATTGGGAATAAAAATAAATAATTGATTCAACTGACTTTGCTAGTGCGGTTGTGACTTAATTAATTTATTATTACGATGAGGCAGAAGTAGAAATTTTCTGCTTTTCCTGCCTATTCGCATGGCGCCTCTTTGTCTTTTCTCATTGTTAGTAACAATAAGATACATATTAGTTGCACCAATCAAAGTCATCGTTATCGTTTACGTATACATGAAAATTTTAATAACTTATTGATAATACTTTTATTGGAGATAAAGACCAAGCGTTTAAGGAATAAAGAAAAAAAATAATTAAGATCTACATCGACGAATCTAGTTATCATTTTACTTACATATAGATTAAGGTTCTTGTCTTCGAGCCACACCTACAGGTATGTAAAGAATTTTGTATAAATCTTTAGGTATTATATTTTGATCTTATGTATTTGATTGATAAATCTGTCAGAAATAAAAAATTGAGCACATTTGCAATGGAATTTTAATTCATTTAACGTTTTTTTTATCAAAAATTTGATATATTAATCACTACAAAATTTTATAAATAAGTATCTCTTTAGTGTATCTTTTTGTTTTATCCCCGCACCCAGAAATTTATGTTAATTTAATGTTTAAATATTTACCCATTATCCTCATTCCTTTGGAATAAAATTTTACTAATGAAGATGAATAACTATGAATACTGACCATAATGTTTTGCTTCTTTCTTGATGAGAATTTTATTTTCTAAAAACGTTCTTTCAAACGTTTGTGGATTATTTGTAATGCAAAATATGAGAATCCTAGCAATACAAAAGAACTTAAACGGAATATTATGATATATATTTATTTCAATAATTTTCTTATCCGGACTTTCATTCTCATTAACCCTAACCCTATAGGGTAGTATATTCACCACTTAGCATATTTGCATTGCCCAAGCAAGCAGCGCTCTGCTACTCTTAAATAAAAAAGCAAATTTTTGTCATGAAATTAATTATGATCTGTTTTTGTATTTAACTGAACATCCTCAATATCACTACATATCAATAATGATTGTTTTTGCAATTAATTATAGAAGTATCTCCAAATTATTTTAGGAGACATTGCCGGTAACAACTATTCAACACACTGACTCAATACCTGCAAAGATGGTGACCCATTTTATTCAAGGAATAAGTTCTCATGGTTTTTACCATTTCAATTATGGTGTGGAAGAAAACATTAAATTATATGGGAGTGAAACACCACCACCGTATAATCTATCTACTGTCAAAGTGCCTGTGTATATAATTTATGGAAATAACGACTGGCTTTCTACTGAGCAGGTATTTAATTTCGCTAATACCAAAAATTATTTGTATATTTCAAACGTCACGGGTATTCGAAATACATCATTCTAATAAAAAGGATTAAAAGCAGATACTTGGTTAGTCTTTCACTTTCGACGACTGTTTGGACAGTATTGAGTATGTTTGTTACTCTTGAAAATGACATACCACTGCTACTAACTGTCGAGGTTTCTCGGTATATTTACGTTAGTGAAAAGGTAACCAAGCATTCTGCAATTTTTTCGCTTAAAAATAAAAAGATTAAAAGTACATAAAGAGAAAAATCTTAGAAAAGTTACCACGCTGTCTCATAATCATAGTGTTTTTAACTGACAATGAAAAATTACCAATAAGTTCATTGTGAAAACTCAAAATTCCTTCCGCGTGAAGCAAATTTGTAAACAACACCCTATGGAAAAAATTAAGCTATTCAACACTATTCTTTCGAAACCACCGACACAAATGGTAAGGATGCAGCAACTGTTCTGCTGACTGAATTTACCTGTACTTTTAACTACATTTTTCTAGAAAATGATAAATCGTTTTAATAAAAAACAGTGATACTCCTAATCGATCACCCATTCGAAAATTATCTCGACGAACCAATTAATATTAAATAATCGGATGAAAAACTTTATCTCCTAAACACGCAGAACCCCCAATGTTACATTTACCTATATGTGTCTCAATGACATAAACTTATTGCTACTTGATGTCTTATTTTTACATTGTACAGTCATGTTTTGAAAACGACGCCTATTTATTTTGCAGGACGTCTTAAGACTATATGCAGATCTTCCAGAAGCTGCTAAACAACACGGAATTTACAAAGTCAACTGGACCCACTTCACGCATACTGATTTCTTGCTAGCCAAAGATGCAAAAACATTAATTTATGACCATTTGATAAAATTCCTTGAAAATTTCAATTCCTTATAAATATATCATACAATAACAACATTTATATATCATAAGGACCAACAGGACTATGCTTAAATAAAAATTAATTATCATTAAAATATTTGTGTCATTTCGCTAACATCTATGTTTTGGTTTCGCAAAACATAATTTCCGTTTTTTTTTTGGTTTCCGATTTTCTTATAACAAGGATATTCAGACGTTCTCTTTTTTATCAATAAGCGACTAGCTTAGAAATTTTCTATCAAGCGCTGATTCTCTACTAATATTAATAAAATTTTACTATAGTCATATAATTGACATCTATGGTCAACAGCTAATACTTCAAGCAATCACTACTACCAATAAATTATCTGCCATAAGCAGACACTAGCTTTACCTATTGGAGACAATTTAACGTATAACAGAATTTGTTGTAGAGTAGTTATCCTTTGTTTCAGCGGCTCTAGAAACGGACTTGCTAGTATGTAAGTACTATAGATGTCGGTTGTTGCTGTATAAATTGAGAGGCACATTTATGACAACAATGGCAATAATAATAGGTATTAGAGTGACTTGACCTAAAGAAATAATAAAAGATAACGAAGAAAATAGAAACACTTTCATTTTTTTTACATCTGAATTACCACACAGTACAACTTTGACACACACACACAAATTGCTCCCATTAACAACTTTAAATGGATCATTAATATTGTTTAACAAATATTTATTTTCATTCTTTTAATCATCCTGTATGCAGAAAGTGTCTACCACAACAGAAAATACTTTTAAAACAAAATAAAGTAATTAACTCATACTTCATGAAAAGATTCATTGATAAAAATGCTTTTCGGCAGTTAAGTCATTATTACAGTTCTTTGACAAGCAGTATGTAAAAGCTATCTGATAATAGTTAACCAGCTGAACATTTTATAAATTTTATAGAATATAAAATTCGTACATTATAGGTATATAAATTTCCTAAAACATAAAGGTACTAACGATGGTGTTCAAACTTAATTTTGAAAAATTGGTATATTTCATTTCATTAGGGCGTCTGTAACATTATATACATAAAGTAGTAAATTGTATGCTTTAAAAACACATATAATCAATTTTTAAAGGTAATTTGCCATTGTCATTGTTAAACATTGTATATTATTAAAAACCGTATAATATTTAGAGAGCTTATAATCGACTTTTACTACCAACCTCGACAAGCTGTCTTACCGCGCTTGGTCAGTTTTTATCCTGTATTTTGATTGTTTACAAGGGGTTCTTAAATGAATTTCCACTTTTGTGGATATTTTTAACGTGAAGTTCTTAAAAAATACAAACTACAATAGACGTTTTCCTGTTTTATTGTTTTTAGTCACGTTGAATAGTTAATGAACTGTTATTATTATTAAATTGTTAGACACCCTTATATTTAGATTATCGTCTATTTTAGATTTTAAAATTAATTTTGCTATAAGATGTATAAAATATTTATCAACAATGTCGTACTTTTTCCGTTATGGAAGCGTTATTTGAGCACACACTTAATTGAACTTAGTAAAACAAATAAATGAAACCACTCACCATAACAAATAATCTAAGGGTTAGCAGAGAAATTCCAAAAACTTGTTCCTATAAGAGAGGGAAAAGTTAGTTAAATAGTTTATTACAATTTAATTTCTATAAACTAGACACATTAAAAGGCTTTGTTATTTATTATGAAATCGTGTGGTTATTCAAAATCCTGATCAAGAGTATGAGAAACTGAGAAACCTAAATATGTAGATTATGAAGTTGTTTACAAAAAAGTTAAAACTTACACATTTTAAACGGTTGATAGCTTCAAACTTAAATCATTTTCACCAGTTTGAAGGTTTTGTATTTTGTTATTGTTTAAAAATACACATTTTTTATCAACAAGTGTTAATCGCAATGGCTTACGATGGTATAAATGTACGTATACGAAAATTGGTTTAGGACCAATCACTTCTGAGGAAAACCTCACTAACAGTTTACGTACACATTACAGCAACCTTGTGAAAATTTTCTTGCAATTCAACAAGGTCAATTCACTTGTGACATTATGAACAAGAAATTATTGCAATATTTCTTGTAGGATACGCATATTTTGTGGCATAATTTATATAAACCGCAATAACAAATTCGACTAGACGAATTAAAATATTGTTACGTAAATTTTATTAATAATATTAAAACCTACTCGACCCGCGTTCAGTTCAAAGAGCCGAAGATTATAAACCAATACTAATTATAAGTACAAGGAAAAGCGCATTTTTTAGAACACCTCGTCTATGAAGGAAAAAGTGATTATGGAAATGTTGATAGATAAAATTTTTACGTATATAATAAAATAAAATAAAACATAATAAAAAAAATAAAGTGACTTATTTAAAAATTAAACAAGTGATTTACTGATTTCAAGGATACTTTAAAGAAGAAGGTTAAACAGCAAATGTAGCTAATCATCCATCATTAGCAATGTAATGTTTAATTATTCAAATGATTCTCGACAGCCTTACACACAAAAGGAATTAAATTTAGCTAAACTGGAAATAAAAATGTACTAGATTGACGTTTAAATTGTCAGGAATGCCTTGGAAATAATGTCAAGATCCTCCTTCATTACAAATCTTTTGCGATTTTCTTCAATATCGATTGCTACAATTATGACAAGCAAAAGTTCGACTAATATAACTCTAACTATCACTCGTCCGCCACCATCTAAAACATTTTTTTACAAGACAATCCCTACCCTCTAACGTTACCCCTGAACGGTCACTCACATTTACAGTCAACATTTATTTTATCCCTTTTTCAATTTTCACTGTTCTTAAAGGTCATCCGCATCGCCCACACATATAGAGATTTACCCACGAAATGATTTTAATGCTATTACACAAATATTATTTAATGAAAAAAATGCTAATTTAAACCATTACTTATTCAATCGACTAGTAGAACAATCGCTGTAAAAAAAAAAACAGGGTTGAGATGATTTAAATCATGATTTTAATCAATCTGATATTTTTTTGAAATAAAATCATGATTAATTTAAGAAAATGAAGTTAGTTGGGCACTTAAAAATGTATTTATTTATAAAAGAAGTAAAACCTAGGAACATTTTTATGTTAATATTTATTGCTTATTATAACAATTACAAAAGGATTCAACTGTTTTTTACAAAAACATTTTTTAAGCAATTTTTAATACAAAAAGCAAAACTGTAGGTACCTAAGGAAGAACTTTTATAGTTAGTACCCAAGTTTGTTTCTTATATCTGAATGTACGAGTCAGTACACTATAAATCGTAAAAATTATTACAAAATGGGAAATCCTAACTAATATTTATCCAAAAAATGAATACTGTTCCCGATGGATAGAAAAATTAGTTTTATGTGATCGTAGATAATTTTTGACACTTTTTATATTAATTAGAATGTAAAAACTAGCCAAAAGTAGATTTACTAAAAAGCAAAAAATAATTCGATTTTTGATTTTTTTTTTAAATCACGATCTTTATTGACCTTGAAAATAAATACAAACAATCGATTATTAAAAAACAATATGATTTATCTATATGTATGTAATTAAAAATTTTTTTGGTAGATATCTAATGCAATATTTTTGTAGCCAAATTTGTTGTTGTCTACGTTAATGAGGCGAAAACTTAATTAATTGTCTATATATGTACATTACTCAGTTTCATTCACTATTTTAATTCATTTAAAAATACGACTAAATTTAAATAATTTCATGCGTTAGAAGTGATAATCAACTGACCCTATATATATGATTTGTACTTACAAGAATGATGTTCAAAGATTGCTTTATTTGGATTAATTCACAAGTAAGTAGGTATATTAGGTACAGACAATAGAGTTTTACACTTAATTTATTGAAAGATAAAAACTTGGTTAGTTCCACGAAATTATTTTATCGTATCTTAACAATACAGATGCTTCGGCTTACTGTCTTCTCTGTAATCACTTTTTGAAAATTGTATACATATAATAGCCGAATCAAAAAAAAACATAAACATATAACACAACATTTCGTGAACAAACCAAATGTTAACGTTTTAATCTATTAAGTGTAATTAACATGTTTCATCAAACGATAAATCGCATTATTTCTACGAATGGAACTTTTGTGAGCGAAATTGATGCAAATACTGCTGCTGATTACTTGAAAACAAGGATTACATTAATTAACATTTAAAACTAATTGTAATTTAAAACGCTTATATGTATCTCATCGTCAAAAATAAACACAAACTGTATAAAAAAAGAAATAATACGTCAATAAACATAAAGCAATATGATAAAAAAGACGGAAACAACATTCGTGAAGCTACAATTAATTATAAAGACGATGGATTAATTAATTATTTATTTATGTATGGAATTTATTAAATAAGAAGTTAAGGACGTAATTGTTCAAAAAAAACGAAATCCCCACCGTTAGTCAAGGTGACAGACATCGAGTAGGTACAGTAATATTTTTAAAAATTTTAAGTATGAATTCGTTTTCAGAGATCGAGTGTATAATATACGTATGTTACTGTAAAACCTCCTATTCTCATTGATACAAGTCAAGGGCTTTTGACCTGCTATAGGTACAAATAAAGTGTTGAGATGCTATTAGGTGCGCAATGTCTCATATCAACCATGCAGTCAATAAGTTTGATAGTGCTTGTGATTAGTGGCGTTCTGTCGGATATGAGAAATCAAAAGAACAACGTGTGCCCAACGTTTGAGGACTATTTTACAATTGAAAATAACCCCCGGTGTTGGTTTGACATTGCCGCAGCCTCAGATGTGGTAAGATTGTACAAAACTCAAAATTTTATCACTGTAAGAAGAGGCATTACAACTGCTGTTAGATATTAACGTTTAATTGGTGTTTTTCTTATACCATATTATTTTAAACGTCTTTAGAAGATAATTATAAGATAGTAGATTAAACATCAAAGCGATTATTCCATACCTTAAAAAACAATCAAAAATTTGTGGATATATCCAATGTAATGAATAGAAAAAAGGGAAGAAAATTTACTAAAGGGTTTTTAAAAATTTAAAGCAAAAAATATGTCTATATATAATAATAAAATTATATTTACTTAATTAGATAAAAAACAAAATCTAGGAAGAGCAAATGATTGATGTGCCAGATGATGAAGACTAATTATTCAATAGACAAACGCATTTTAATTATGTATTCGCATATTACTTATTTGTTTGATTAATTTATTCATCTACGCTTACAGGTATGAATTACAACGTAGGTAATCAATTCACTTGTCGGTATAGGTAAATATGTAGATAATATATACAACATGTGCATCTAATATTCAATATTACAAATAAGTTAAAATAGTTACAATTTTTAATTACTTTAATTAATTACCAGTCTGGACCATTCCACCTAATACCTTAAAAACCACTCGTAATAAACCATTAAATCTAAAAATAAGTACAAGTTATATTGAAGTCGTCTGTCTTTGTATAACACTTGTGAATTTCGACTTTTAAATCTATAATGTCAATGCAAATTAGTTAATATTAACTGAACCAGTTAGTGAATTGAAAATCAGTGGAATTAGTAAAAAATAAATAAAAGTAAATTCAGAAGAAAAGGACCTATCATTTATACCAATGAACCAACCAATGATTAGCTCAAACATTGGAACTTCAACGATAAGAAGTAATGTTTTATATTTTAACTGTAATGATATCAATGCAGTTTATAATTA